ATATATCGAATAATATCGAATAATATCGAATTATCGTAAAATCGAAAATTATCGTACAGGCTGAATTTTGGATCGTACAAGGCTTCAAATTATCGTATGCGTACGATAATTATCGTACGAATGGGATCGCTGCTAGCCATTATCACGAAAGATCTAGTAGCGAGATAAGTAGTTTCAATTATCCGTGCGTACACACCTTTATTCATAATTATATATATTTCAAGTGAAATTGCGCCTTCGAGTCCAGTAGAAGTTCGCAATTTCCAATATAATTATTCATTCATTCATCGTTCTGTAAGAAATTTCATTTCAAGCTTTGGTTTTTTGTTCTTTTGTTTCGTCAGGTCAGCTTAACGTCATATTTATTACGTAAAAGTCTTACGTCAATAAGTGTGAAATAATGAGTCACATGTGACTCATATCTGACTAATATCTTACGTAAATCATGTCATCGCGCAAAATCATTTTGACGTCATTTTGACGTAATTGTGTTCACTGGGTAATGAATTTGATCAAAAAAAGAAAAGAAAATTCCGTGAGACGTACCTGAGGAACATCGAATTTTTGTACTTATCGTTTAAACGAAGAGAAAATATTCGCGAGGAAGAGATATTAATGACAAATGAGATGATTGTCTAAAACCTAATATCTAAATCATATGTTTAAAAACGTTTTTTCCAAAAATATAGTCATTTATTTGGAAACACCTAATTCTCGGTAGAAATTTTTTGTTGATGAAATCCTCATCAAACGATGTAAGTAACAAATCGATTACGATAAAACTTTTTGACTTATCAATTGTCTTTTTGAACTTGTTCCACTTTTAATAAATCTCTTCAAACAACGAGATCAATCAAAATAAGTCACACCAACGTATGATTTAATTCTTTTCCCATCATGATGTAACTGGAATTGCTAAAGCAATCAGGTATATTTGTTTTTAAATCATTCTTCTGTTTAGGTATGTTCACATAATTGTCTTGAGTTCTTATAATGGACGGTGTGTATTCTTTTTTTTTGGAATGGAATTCGTCTGATCCTGACAATTTTTTTCTTCTTATTTTACCCCCTTTTACTTTTCTTTTTTATTCTTTTTAACTTCATTTTTTGTCGTCAATTTTTTAATCATATCTAACAAATTAAGATTTCGTGGTTTATCATCTACGTTATTTAACATTGGTATTAATTCCTCCTTGTATTCATCTTTGTTATCAGACCGATCTATCTTCATATTTTTTGTCGATTTTTCTGATTCTAACACTTTATGATTTCGTGGTACTTTACGATACCTAGATTCTATGCCTTTGCTTTGTTTGATTGGTTTAACATTTGCATATTGTTCTTTAAGTACAGGGATACTTCCTGGGGCCCATTCCATTGGTATTAAATAAGGATCATCTACGTTATTCATTCCATGCAATTCGATAATATTGGATGCAATTGGTGATAATTCAATTGCATCCTCGTTATCAGACATCATCGAAGCAAATTCAGAATGCAATTTTTCTGCATCCAGTCTAAGATTAAATATGTCCGACTTGTCACCAGTATTTGTTCGACTCCTACATAAATATGTCGGATCTGGTGGATTTTCCGAAATAGGTGAATTCACATAATCACCAGCTGCCAATGATAGAGTTGTATGATCTGGTGCTGACATCATCTTTAAATAATCGTTTCTACTATCCAAAATCATCGTGTTCATCTCCATGTAAGGTGTGTTCAGAGTTATGTAATACTGTAAATCATGAAAATAAAACAAATCATTTTTATTAAACAGAGTTTCTTTTTTGTTAAATATTGCATTGATTGTAAATTATTTAAAATGATAAACTAACTCACCGTTTTTACACTTTCCTCTAACAAATTACCAATGCTTTCCACCAATTCTGTGAAACCTGGACGCAAAGTTGGTTTTKCWTTCCAACATTGCAACATTATTTTGTATCTATAAAGGGTGAGAATTAAAATGAAAGATAATTTGTTTAATTTATAAAAATGCATTATAACATTATATATGTATTTAAGTTTACTTACACATCTGGAGTAGCATAAGCTGGTTGTTCCATTCTATAACCTTCTTTCAGTTTCTTATACAGTATCTCAGCTTCCAAACCTGGATAAGGAGTTTCAGCCAATGTGAAGAATTCCCAAAGGACAATTCCAAAAGACCATATATCCGATTGCGTAGAAAACACTTTATATCTTATTGATTCGATCGCCATCCATTTTATGGGCAATGGTTCATTACCTTTCTTCTTGTAATTACCATCTTTGTACATTGTTTTAGACAAACCAAAGTCACAAATTTTAACTACGTTATTTTCAGCGAGTAATATGTTTCTCGCAGCTAAATCACCGTGCAATACCTAATTGTATTTAATTAATTAGATCAATATGTATTAAATATAAATTTTGGATAACGATTAACATTCATACGACAACATTTTATTTTTATTTTTGAATATAAATGTTTCTCTTCAAATTCTAATTATACTTACGTTTCTCTGACTAAGATATTCCATACCACGAGCCACTTGAAATGCCCAAGACAAAAGATCTTGAGAACAAATTGGTTTCAAATTATGATCCTTATAATCACCACGATAATTGAATCTACAACCAGGTTGTGAAGAATTATTGCTAAGTGTACAACCTCCATCAGGTGACATACATGTACCTTGAGAGTCCGTTGTATTAGGAACATTTATTTACTAAATTTTAGTAATAACCATTACAATTAATATATCCATTAGAAGATTAACTACTATTACAGTGATTTTGATTAGAACATTAAATGATACTCTTGCTAGCATTTCGAACACATTTGACATTAAATGAATAATCATAACATAATATATATTATATATGATAGAATAAATAGATGTGATTAATATATACCAAGACATGAAGCATATGTGTTATAAAAAGTAGGAAAGAAAATAAAATAGAAAATACAAACAAACCTATTATTACTGTTTATACTGGCGGTTTTCCTGAGAAGATAAGTACCAATTGTAGTATCAAATTTACCAGTGGAAGGATCAATTTGATTGATAAAATCCATTCTGTGTCTCAATAAGAAATTACGTAAATTACCAAATCGACAGTACTCAACGATGACCAATAATTCACCTAAAGCAAATAAAACCAAACAAAATAAATTGAATATATTAAAATTCATTTTATGATGATAGAAATGAGAAGTATATGACATAAAACATACCTTTTAAAATATTTTTCGTGCAAGCACCTAAAAGATTGACGACGTTCAAATGTTTACCAAGATGTACCATAATCTTTAATTCACTTGCTAGAGCACGAACATAAGTTAAATTTGCCGTACGTCGTACCATTTTAACTGCAACCGTTGTTACATTTTCACCAGCATAAATTCCTATAGCTTCTGCTTTTATAACAACCCCGAATTGTCCAATACCCAATTTTTCTCCTAAATTATTATTAACGAACGTATTAATTTAAATTATCATTAAAATATATTCGTTACAATCTATCAATAAATATATTTTGAAAAATTTTGCAAAACAATGTATCATAATTATTTGTTCTTGCAATTGTCTTAAATGCTATCTCATAATTATTAATTTAAAGTATATTAAAAAAAAATAAAATCATAAATGTATTCTATATACATTAGGGTGGGTCAAAAAAATCAATTATTTTTTTTTTACAAGTGCCACGGAAAAATGGGTTGCTAGACACCTTAAAAGAATTCTCCCCAAATATGAGCTCTTAATTTTAATAGGAAGATCCTCCTCATCGCAGTTTTTTATTTTTTTCTCAGTCCAATAGAATAAAATTCATACCTTATCATTAATTGATTGTACAGAAAAATGTTCTCGAAGAATTATGTAGGAAATTTAATGCTCTCTACAAAAAAGATATCTTATATTTTTTTCGTAAACCTAACCATTTGAATGATATTGAAGATTTAAGTTTGATTATTTTAAGACAAATTTCATTTTTGTTTATGAATTTTATAACTCGATAATAAATGACTATTATAAAATACGCAATACAAATTTTTATAGGAAATTAACTGCTCTGTAAAAATGGTGTCTTATGTTTTGGCGATTAAATTAAGCGTTCAAAAGATATTCAGAGACAGAAATCAGTACACATGAAGGTTTGATGATGAATGGCTTTTTTTTTTTTTAAATGGCTATAACTTCTTTAAAATTCAACCTATTGGAACGTTTTTTTAAAAATATTTGTTTTTAAATGTACTTTTCAGAAAAAAATACAAAAAAATTTCAAAATTATAAAATCCATGAAAGGGTATAGCCGGATAAGTATGGGAAATCTGCCCCCGTGGCTTTTTTGACTCGCACTTGGGGGATCGATTCTGTGTCGAATAAAAATAATTCACCCCAAATTTTAGCTCTTTTACTCAAACGGTTCTCGAGATTTTCAAAAAAACCTGTTTTTTCGATTTTTTTTTTTTTATAGTAGAATTCAAAACTAATCATTGATAATTTTTTTTCTAGTTCTTAGGAGTCTAAGACATGAAAAAAAAAATATGATCATAATATTTTAACGAAAAGCCGATTTTTGACGGACGAAAGAAAATTAAATTTTTTTTTTTTTTAGCTTTTTTGAAATATGTCAGTCACCAAAATTTTTCAGAAAATGTCTTTTATACTCCTCTACACTCAGGAATTTTCTTGAATTTTTTGAAGTGGTGGAACAATATGAAAAAAATTAAAAACTCTTTTTTTTTTCTAAAATCCCAAGTTTTAACTAATTTATATTTTTTTTTCAGTTAAAAAAAAATGTGAAAAATTATTTTTTTACTCAAAATACACAATAACATTACTTATCAAACATTTTCAATCATTTGGTTTCACAATGATTACGTAAAAACTATTTTTTTTTAATACGTTCCGAGCTGACGCATTTCAACGCTATATCCCGGGATTTTCACTAACCAGCAATCATTTTTTCTAAAGTTTCGCTTTAAAGTTTTCTTTATTTTGCTTTGTTGTTTGCTTACAGTTGTAGCATTACAACCACTAGAATAAGTAAATTTTTTTATTGAATCTGTCTGTATATTTCTCAATTCCCTATACTGTAGGAAAAAAATCTAGTATTCAGCTCTTTTTTTTTTGAAAATCTCGAGAACCGTTTGAGTAAAAGAGCTAAAATTTGGGGTGAATGATTTTTATTCGACACCAAATCGATCCCCCAAGTGCGAGTCAAAAAAGCCACGGGGGCAGATTTCCCATACTTATCCGGCTATACCCTTTTCGCATTTGTTTTTTTCAGAAAAACCGTTATTTTCTCGAAGTTCGCCATTTTTATTTTTTTTTTGTTTTCTAGAAAAAAACTTTGTCTAACTCTGCGATTATCCCCTCTAGTCCCAGAGTAAGCAGAGTTAGTTTCCTATTTTTTTTATTTAATTGAAAAATTTTTAATTTATTTTTTTTCTTAAATTAAATGAATGCAATTAAACAATTTTACAATATTATATACTTAATTTATAGTCTAAAAAATACAGTTTTTCAAAAAAAAACATTTCAACCTTTCGTTTTTTGCTGTAAKAATATGATGGAATTATTACGTCATTTTTAAGTCAGAACAAATGACTTTATATTGAGGTCATAAATAAAGTCACCATTACGTCATGTCTACGAAAAAATTTGAAGATCACTGTATGACATATGTATGACATCATTTTAAGGTCTTGTGTTCACTGGGACGTGTTACATGAGAATTGATCAAATTAAATCAATCAATCAATAATGCGTCATACTCATACGTGACATAAATGTGGGTTATCAAATATGTTACAAATATACAATCTTCGAATATTACCAAGTTTCAACCTTTCTCTTGGAAATTCCCATTTCTTATCGTAAGGAAGTAGTTCTGCTTGGTCATTTACTGTCAATT